TCTTGGTGTGCAGGTTCACACCGGTGTGTTTCCTCTTGTCCTCTGTGACCTTAGAGTTGCCACCCTGATACAAGAAGAAGAATTGGAATATCTCCCTCCTTAAAACGTAGAGTATCTCAGAGTCACAGGAGATCTGGGGCATCGCCTGACCCATGAGGTATATTTCTCAAAAAACAGTGAGCAGGGCAAGCTTCTGGTGTCCTCTTCCCAGGTGACATAGTCCCTCTTGGGTCACCCTTGAGCCACGTGGTCTGGTGGGGAGCCACTTGACAGCCTCATTGCCTTTTTTCTGAGTGAGCCCAGATCTGCAGGTTGAACCAGTCAAGGGTACATGGGCCTGTGGTCTCCAAACTGTAGCTACTTAAGATAACTAACTGGTGGACACCCTTCAAGGCATAAGATGTATATGAGTGCTTCATAAAGGAGCAAATGTTAGCTTCTTACAAAGTAACACATGTGTCTAGAACATCTGCAGAAATACGTTCCCAAGTGCTAGGCTAGCTGGAGTCTCGCTGTCCGGGTGAACCCGGCCTGAGCCACATGAGCTGGGGTGGAATAGGTGAAACTGGGGTCACCCAATTTGGCCCAGGACCTGCTCTGAAGACACTTCATTGTTTGGACCTCTTTTTCCTTGACTGTAATATAAAATGATGAAAGATGTCAGTCTTCATGGATAGATTTCCTTCTGGACTCTTGCGTGGATGGAAGTGGAAGTGGAAGAGTACCAGTGACCCCTCGTGAAGAAGTGAAATCGGCCTTCCCACCAGCACAGAGTTTAATAAGATGCCTGTCCCTGGAATCACAGAGACGTGGTGACAGTGTCCCGGCTCTTGCATCAAGCAGAGACAGGAGCTGGGGAGCACTGTGGACGGCCAGGCTTCTACAGGATGTCTTGTCAGAGTTTGATTGGCACAGCTTGCAGATCGCGCTGTGTGTGGTTCCAAAGCTGGGTTTAATCCTCAGGGTAAACCTCGACTGCTGTTCTTATCTTAAACAATTCGTTTTCTCCCAAGATGTCTCGTGGGAGGCTGAGTTCCTCCCGTTCCTGTTTTCCCACAGATGTGAGAGAAGCTAAATGAAGCAACAAGATAAAAGAAGACATCAAGACAGCACGGTGTTATGAAACAAATCCAACAATGTGAAAATAAGATATTTTAGTCATGTGGTCCACTTTAACAGCCTTCCAGAAAATAAAATGCTTTCTCTCTTTTTTTTTTTTGAAAAGAAAATCTTAAAACCTCATATCACTACCTCTGTGCTCCAGGTTTCATGCAAAGTCATATGAATGCATCGCTTTGAAAGAAAAATGCTTTCGGACATCAGTCGTATTTAGTATGAATCTAGCCAAATACCGATTCTGTTAACCTTCACATGTAGAGTTGCTTATGAAATCAGGGATCAGAAAAATGCTAGTAACTGAAAAGTTTTCTTTCACAAAAGAAGTCCCATATTTTACTTGGCACTAAAGTGCTTGGCTCTTTTGTAAAGTTTTGCCTTTTAATATAAAACTTGGTAAATGCGTTCTTTCCGATTGTCAGTAGCCAGGAACAGTTGAACGTCCGTGTTGTTCAAAGCATCCAGAGCGAATGGTTCATGGTTTTTCTTTGAGCTCCATGACGAGGCAAATGTGCCACTGTCATGTGTTGGTCTAACGATATTGGGCGGAAGACAGGCGGGAGGCAGGGAGGCCACCCTTCTCTCTGGAGAGCCTCTTCTGCTTGGACAAACAGGCCTCCGTGTGGGAAGCTGGGGATGGGATCTTTACAGATGGGAGATGCTCGTTTCTAGCATGCTGGTGATGAGTATATAGTCCAGAAGTCTCCGTAGCCCACCCTGCCTTTGGTCTGCAGTGAGGGTCTGGGCAAAGAAGTGGCTGCCCCCATGTGAAGAGGAAAGCTGTGGTCATAATGGAAGGGGCCAGTGTGTTGGGGACAACAGTTGTGACGCAGACTGTCAGAACCTGAGTAAGCCACTCTGCACAGCTGGGGCTTCAGCCAGAACTGGATGCTGCTGACCCCCCTGACTCAGCCACAGGGGACATGGGGGCAGGGCATGCCATTCTGGGGTTAGACAAGAGCACTGCCATCCTGACCCGGACTAGGGAATTCAGGGGAAAGAACTGGGGAGCAGAACCCTAGGAAGAAAACAGAGAAAGCCAGGTTTTGTCATGCAGGAGCCTGGATTGGCACACGGAGGAACTTTTGTGAGGTGGTGAATCCACACTTCCTGCGGGGAGGCCAGGGGAAAAGTGCTGGCTTCATTCAATTCCGCTGCTTCCATTTGGTTCTTGTTTTGGAGGCATTTATTTTCTAAAATTTGACATTTCTGCTTGTAAGGCATTTTTGAGAAAGAAGAAAAAAGGCTCTTATGGACAATCACAAAGTTATTTTTATTATTGTTTCAGCTGCACTTAATAAGGAAAGAGTATTTTCTAATTGCAAAAGCATGATTTGCATCGCTTTTCTCATTCCTTGCATTCCTTGGGGCTCTGTTCTTCAAAGCAAGTCCTCCAGGCAGTGACAAGGTCTGAGGCATCTTCAGCAAACCAGATGGTCTTTTGGCAAACACCAAGCGTGGCAGGACTTAACTAACAGTGTCACACTGTGCCAAGATCCAACTCCCTTCAGCTGCAGGAGAGTCCCCTCAAATAGGAGCCAGGAAGGTCCCCAAGGTCTCCCATCTGTCCAAAAATGTCCAGGGTGGATCCTCACAGAGGTGTCAGTAAGCACAGGAGAAGGAAGCGCGCCCCCTGCAGGCCGGAAGCCTGCGGAAGTCACACTGAAGGCCATCCTTTCACTCCCAGGTTCTGGCAGCTGCAGGGACACAGCAATTAGAAGCACACATGCCTTCTACACACAACACATGAGTTACATGCCTTGCAAGGCCAAAACACACACGATACTCAGAAATACAGAGCGGACACATAGATCCCACGCAATTCACATGCACGCGTGGATCATAGCCAGATACAGGACGCACTAGACAGTGCCCAAAGTGGATGTTTTAGTCGTCTAGGCAGGTGCAGGCAGGGGAGATAAAGTACAGATCCATGACAGAGTTTGGGGCTGAGGTGGCAGAATAGGAGACTGGGGAGCGCCCAACCCAGGAATCTGGAGAATGCGTGAGTTACCCGGACACCACCAGGGCCTGGCACTTCTGATCCACACAGTTGTCCACCCACTTCTGTTAGGTATCTATGCTGGCTCGGAGAGGCTCATCTTCTGGTCCTGCCCATTTCTAATTCTAGCTTGCTTTGTCCTGCATGTCCCAAACGCATTTATTAGGGATTCATGGGGCTAGAGATTAAGTGTCCCTTTTGCTCCTGTTTCTGTAACCTGTGAAGAGACAGAAAAGGTAGCAGGCAGATGGGGAACACAGGCCACCTCTGTTACTGTTACAGCTGTGTGGAGAACGTGGTTCTGTGCATCTCCCCCTCAGCTAACCCATTTGCCCCTGCCTCTGCCCCCAGATGAAGCTCTTCTGCAGCACAGGCTGAGCGAATGGTTGGGTTCACAGCTCGGCTGCGAAGGCAGCACCTGTAAACCTTCGAAGGCTTAGGAATAAACCTCCCCAACGAGTCAGGTGATTGGTGTGGGGAATTGATCTGTGTTTGGAGACGCTCTTACAGAGAGTCACAGGCCTCTGGAACTGAAGCCCAGCCTTGTGGTTGGAGCCATTAGTGACCTGGATGGGCTAGAGTTACGGTCACGTGGAAGTGAGGGGTGGATGTTCACATCTGTCTGTCCATTTGCTGGCAGATCTGTAGGCGCAGCCCTGACCTCGGGACTGTTGCTCCGTGTGAGTTGTGTGCCACGTAATAGAAGCACACACTGAGAAGACCGTTGTCCCATCCCACTGATGAGAACAGAAGAGGGGTATCCCCTAAGAGCAATTCTGCAACATCTATCAGTAATGGAAAATGAGCATGACTTTTGACTCAGTATATTTTTAGTAAGTGAATCTAGAAAAATGATCAAACAGGAAGTAAAAATTTGTACCTGAGATGGACAGCTATAGGCAAATGCACAGAAGAGTAACACAGCAAGAACGGGAGACAGCCGAATATTGACAGAGTCATAAACTGAATATTATCTAAGCATTAAAAGTAGTTTCCATTGAATATAGATGATCTTAGTTTTGGTTAAATGTTAAATTTTAAAAAGCAAAGCACAAAACTGCAGTTGGAATGAACCCCAGCCTTTTGGAACAAGATGACAAAACCAAATGCATCACCAATTTTAATACAGAAAGACAAGAAATGGGTGGGCAGAGCCATGTGGGCAGCAGAATGTCTTCTTGGCCAGGGAATCTAGGGTTCTATTCAGTTATTTGTATTTGCTTTCCCCCAATTTTTGTGAACCCAAATTGTTTTTATCCTCAAAAGAATAACAAGCTATATGTATTGAAAGGCTGCCTTTTTCCTCTATAAATAAAAGGTAATGTGGAACATCATTAATCCAGGGTCTGCATATGGTTTGGATGTGAAGGCAGCATGTAGCAGTCACTGATTAGCACGATAGTGCCTCGTAACAACTAGAGCTCTCAGTGTTACACAGTGAGAGGCTGTACACTGCTCCATGCCTCTCACCCTGGGATCAGTGGGACAGCCAGAGCAGGGTCTTCTCCTGATGAGACAAGAAAGAGTTACCTGAAATGCACAGCACCTCTTAAGTCTGGCTGGGTACGGCACAGTTCCCCGGTCCACACTGCAGTAGTCAAAGCAAAGCAGATTCTACACATGGCTGAGCTCCAAGTCAAGGGAGTGATCACGAAGCTGTCCATTAAAGGGCACAGATCCCTCCCTGAGATCCAGAAGGGGTCAGAATCCCAAATGAGGATCCATGCTCTCTGTTAGGCAAACAAAGACATTAATGTGAAACAGACACACAGTGAACTTCCTGCAGCCGTGTTGTTAAAACTGTCACTGTTCTCCATTTTGCTTACTCGTGTCACCAGTGAGAAGCTCTTGTCCCACTGAGAGGCTCTTTCTGTCTCTGTAGATCCTGGCCAATGTGATCATTTTCATCTGTGGGAACCTGGCCGGAGCCTACCACAAGCACCTCATGGAACTTGCTCTGCAGCAAACGTACCAGGACACGTGCAACTGCATCAAGTCCCGGATCAAGTTGGAATTCGAGAAACGTCAACAGGTAAGATGTGCTTTCAATTCTACTGTCTGAATGTCATTTGAGGCAGGACGAAAATGAAGTCGTTGCTATCGGCACCGAGTATGGGGTTCATTCATTCAGGAGCTTCAGAAAGGTACCAAGCAGTGGACTGCTCATGCCCAGACCCAGGCTCTCTGCCCAAGGACTTAGAAGAGTGGGGATGACATCTTCTCGGGGCAACCCTGGAGCCAGAGGCCCTGTGACGCAGTACCACCACGTGCAGACAGCACATTCAGTGCTGTCATCCACAGCTCTGGGGGGAGGGGTCAGAAACTGAGCTAATAGTAATGCTCTGGTAAGATGCTTCCCACTGCTCACTGTTTGTGGCAAGAGCCTGCCCCAGCAGAAACCTGAGCCTCCCCTTTCTACTGTACCCGCATGGCACTGTGGGTAGTATCTGTTGTCAACATGGGATAGAATCATGGACATCACGGAGAGGGAGGGGAATGGGATGGAAGTGAGGAGCCGGAGATTGCACTTCTCAGCGGTTGCCCTAGGTGACTGCTGTGGTGAAGACAGGCGGGAAAGGTGCGGAGGCGAGCCCTGTGTTGTCGTGGAGAATGTCAGGGTAGGCAGAACGGAGGAGAGACCAACACAAAGAGGGCATGCGCTGGATGGGTTGCCCTTCAGGCAATGGCAGAAGAGCCACAGACATGGTTTTGCATCTCTTGGCTTTCTGTATTTATCACCAGGAAGCTGACTGTAAAGGTAGTGGTTGGCCTGTCTTTCTGTGCTCTGTGTTGCACTTCCTCACGAGCTTTCTTCATGATACCTGGGCTGTTAGCCTGCTTGGCACATAGCTGACGCTTAATTACTGTGTTAAATTGCGCTGAATTAATCCATTCCACAAAATCCCATCCCATGTACTTTGGTGGTGAGAACGAAGGACTATCCTTTCAGCACTGGCACTGGGCATTGCTTATGCATGGACGGATGAATAGTAATTGAGTTCCTTTTCATTCAAACAGAGATATTAGTTCAACTGTTTAATAAATATTTATTGAGCACAGAGTTTGTGTCAACAGGCTCCAGGCCCTGGGGTATGGCTATGAACAGTGCTTCTTCACTGGTTTTATGGGCAAGTGGCTTTTTTAATTGCTTTTTTGTTGTATGAGGTATTGAACCCAGGGAACTTTGTACTGACTGCATCCCAAACCCACTTTTAGTTTTCATTTCAAGACGGGGTCTTACAAAGTTGCTATGTTATGCAGACTGGGCTGGAATTTGGCATCATCCTGCCTCTGCCTCGACTCAGAGTGCTGGAATTAAGGCCTGTGCCACTTGCTTCTGGGCCCAGCTGTAAAAGCTTGCATTTGTCTTTAAAAGCTGCATAGCGAAGATGGTCAATAACTGGGATTTAATTCTTTCACCTATATATATGAATATATCAGATTCTGGATACATAAAGAGCTACCCACAATTATTCCCTTAGAATTCTTGTCTGTTTTTTTCACACGTGGATGCTTAGTGATATTCCATATCTTGGGTCTAGAAAATTCCCTAAGGTCAACAAGCAGCGTGTGGTGGTCATAGACCATGTCAGTGCAGTTTATGCTGCAGAGTTTGAGGGTTTCAGAAGAGATGATTTCCACGTTGAAACATCGAAACTATGCCAGGTTGTTCCCAACACACAGACTCATCTGTTTTCCATCACTTCCAGAATCTACTTCATAATAGCACAAAGGCTACCAAGAGCTGAAATTCCAGGTAGACAGATTATATAACCTGATGTTTAGAGTAACAGCTTCGACAAAGCAGTAAATCAAGCTACCGACCTCTTTGACACTTTGTATTTCTCTGAAAAAGCCTGGAGCAGCCAAAGCACATAGCAGCCTGGTCCCAGTGAGCCAAGAAGTCCAAACAGTCAGACAGCTGACACTGCGATCTGAGGCAGCCACGCACTGAGCTGTCCAGTGTGCCAGAGACTTTATGGAACCAACATGCCACATAGCATTTCACAGTCTTTAAAAAAAGAAGCCAGTGACTCTTCTTGAAGTAAACCAAAAGACACTCAAACAGTAAGAAACTATGCAAAGTATTTACTCTGACTCCTCAAGTGTATTTGGTCTTAAAAGTTGGAAATCCATTTCCAGGTCCTCACTCCAAAAATGGAGTACTTTTCTTATTTGGGCTGCAGAAAGTGTGCTCCTCAAACCAGAATAAGTGTTTGTACTTTTTTTTTTTCCAGAACAACGTGTAATTAAATAGTAATGATATATTAACTTGCTGAAAATATCCAAAAGATATATTAAGGCAGATTGAAGGAATGAAGTACTTAACCAGTGGCGGACTCTATGACCACGATAGAGAGCAGCCGTCCCTGAGTCCTAGAAGGTCCACAGACCAAGTCAAGGGCTTAGGCTTCGTGTGCTACTTCCTGTGCATTCTGTGTGCCCCTTCCTACTCCTCCCGCACCACCCCTACCTTCCACTACTGTGGCGAACAGCAGTGCCCTTTGAGGTCCTATGTGCTGATCAGCCGGAAAACAGTGTGTTTCAGTCCTTGTTTGGACAAACAAATGCCATCTAATTTATTGTTCATATTGATAGTTGCCTCAGTGATAAGAGGTTGGGGGGGCTGCTATCTTGTATCTCTCTCTGGCCCTTTCTCACAATTCCACTTTCTCTTGTCCTTGGTCCATAAAGAAGAAGGCAAAGGAGGGTTACCCCAGGAAGCCAATCCTGTTCACCCCAGGAAGGGGCTCTTAACACTTGAAACTCTTGGAACGTGTTTCGGGGTTCTGAGATCTTTCCAAAATTACACAACTCTGTACTTTCTTTTCCTCAAATTCCATGATTTCTTTTTCAAGATGCAAGTTAGAAGAATTTCTAGACATGATAATCAATGTTTGAATAAGTGGCTCTTCACACTATGAGATTTTAGGGAAGAAGGAAATGAAAAATGTTGATAGAGGATTTCTCAGAATTGCATTCTAAGCCTAAAAGTGCCCTCCTGTAGGACCAATAACAATCATGAGTTTCTACTGGGAGGAAAAGCAGCTCACGTTAGAGCTGAGGGCACCCCAGGGCTGAGGGTGTTCATTCTGTGAATTCTGGCTTTGGTCTGGTGTTTCGCATCCTGCAGGCAAAACTTCAGCCATTTCTTAAGCACCATGCAGGATAGCAGATGGTTCTTTATCAGACCTGAGAAGACGGCGCGTGTTCCTCTCTGGAGTATGTAATGGACCCTCAGGAATTGGTGACAGCTGGATTCAGAGCAAAACAAGCATCCTGTCTCCTAACTGCCAAGACAATTGAAATTAACACTCTCTCTTTAGGAATTAAAACCATTTGCTTTTTTTTTAAGTACAGAGAATAAACATCTTTAAAGACTTTTTGCACTGTCTGCATTAATGTGGAACCATCTTGTGGGCTGAATAGCACTGTATCCACATTCCAGTAGGTAATGGGAGTCCAGTGATGCATGAAAACCCCTGCATGCCTGGACTCAGCACCCATGGTGGTAACTTAGTGAATCAGTGATTGTCCCTTTTGTGAGTGCAAAATTATTTTCCTCTCTGCAACTTTACAAGTGGTTTTGGGGTGACTGTGGTTGGGCAGATGCCGGCTGTACTCATTTTATCCTGGTGGTAATAGTATGACTATACTGCATAGCTCATTTCTGTTGCTAGGTGAAATGTTTTTTGAGTTGCTCTAGATCTGTGCTACTAAAATCTGGTTCTTTTTCATGGTGGCAACATTAAGCAATGGTCTTTTTGGCATTCTCTTGGGATGGTGGTCTGCAGCTGGCCCTGACACTGCATTCTCGTGCACTGACACTGAACCACAGAGCTGAGCTGCCCCCCTGCCCATACTGAATGTGGCCATGCTGCTGCAGGGTGTGGGATGCCCACCATATGCTTGTCCTTCAAGTTCCCCCAGCATAGACTCTTTTCCTTAAGGCAATCAGAGTGAACACAGCATTCTGCTTCGTGGCTTTGGACATTAGATGGGGAGTTGTCACACACGCTGTCTATCAGCCCCAACTCTCCAGGTTCGCTTTGCTTTTCTCCAGCCAACCAGATGAGGATGCTCTGATTACAGCGCTCATCATTTCCCCTAGTTGTCATCATCTGAGTTGACAGGGGGACTCACAGGGGAGGCATCTGAATAGCAGGTGCCTCCTCGTGGAGCTGAATCAGTGAGACATTCTCTCCCTAGATCCTAAAGAACTGAAGCAGTGAAGCCTTATATAAGCATAACTCCTGCCCTTTGGCTAGGACAGTGACCCAACAGACACTTGTTTTTTTTACACACACACACACACACACACACACACACACACGCACACCCTTTGCTCAGAATCTCTAGCCTGGATGCCGTATGTATCCTCAGCTTGGCTTTCTTCCCCATCAGAGACTATCACAGCTCTCCCCTCATCCCAAGGATATGTCTCTGGTATGTCTGCTTCCTTCTCTTATATTCAGAAAATTACTTGTATACATGTTTCTTTGCTGTCTGTCCCTTAATGAAAAGGGCTAACTAATGTGACTCCTGCTCACCCTTTTTACCCACTCCATCCACAGGGGTTAGAAGATAAGCATTGTTTGCCACCTCTTTCTCCCTTCCTTTCCCAAGGATATGTCTCTGGTATGTCTGCTTCCTTCTCTTATATTCAGAAAATTACTTGTATACATGTTTCTTTGCTGTCTGTCCCTTAATGAAAAGCTCTAACTAATGTGACTCCTGCTCACCCTTTTTACCCACTCCATCCACAGGGGTTAGAAGATAAGCATTGTTTGCCACCTCTTTCTCCCTTCCTCTCTCTCTCTCTCTCTCTCTCTCTCTCTCTCTCTCTCTCTCTCTTTCTTTCTCAGCAGTTATAAGTGGAAGACCGAACTGCATGAGAAAATGCTATTTGTTTGAAAGTTGAAAACAGTGAACGATGGAGATTTCAGAAAAGACCTCTTTTCTGAATGTCTGCCATTTCAACCCGTCAGAATGAACACAGTGATTTGTTTTACCAGTTTGCACCCCATTTCA